AGAAACATACACCCAAATTAAATTTACACCAAAATTATTAATTAACATTACCTTTATTAATTTAAACAATGAGATTACGTCAAAGTCACATAACTGACAATTTGCACAGATAACTTATCAGAACGAATTTTCATATATTGTATTATCCTACTATTGTTACACAATTTATTAACATACTCTTTTTTAGGTTCATTTAGGTTCTTTTGATAACGATAGCAGAAAATAGCTATCGAAACATCAAGGTAATTTTTCAAATTAATTTCTAATTGGAATTTTCTCTTACAACTTGAGCCTAAGTGTGTCGCACGATACCCTCTAGGTGATAGTTCTTGATTACTGTTTGATAAATAATTCGTTCGTATTGCGAAATAGGAGCACTATTTATCAATCTGTAATAAAAGACGTGAGGAAATTCTGTCTTTTTTAAAGACAACAATTTTTGAGGCGAAATACCCAAAAAGAAGTTTGTAAAAAAAATTATTCCTGCCAGAGTGGGCGGACACTCATCGCCATCTGCAAACCTCTGAGTAAACGATAATGGAACACTAGAATGTGCAGGGTGGCTGGTATGAGGCACCATATTTGCCTGAAAATTTGACCAATGATAGTCCATTATATTATTTAAACACGTTCAAAATCATTTCATTCCAAAGTGAGTAGAAAAAAAGTTACACGCGATGGAACTCAAACGCATCAGTGTAATTGCGCTTTATTTGGCTGCGATCGTTAATCACTTCCAAAGTTTTCACTTTCAAATCACTTTAATAACCCGAAACTCACCAGTTTAAATTGTTAAATAAGCCAAACTTCAACACGAGTGAAACTTTCCGATTACACTAATGAAAAATTGCCATCAGAGCCAACAGGTAAAACTGAGTCTAACTTTTGATGAACAATGTGAGACTGAAGGCGTTTCAATATTCCTTTTTCATTCTAATTGATCAGGAATTTAATTTCGCGATTTCTATCGTTATTTCATATTATTGCCGTCCAAGAGCCTCGAGAATTGAGTATTAAAACATTCCGACCTTTCTAAGGGGCGCGTATTGAAAAATGCATGCTAAAAACCGGACAAAATTACCTCGCTGAAGCAATGGATTTTCTTCAACCACCTGAAGAAATGCAATGAAATGTACGTACTAGAGACAAGACATTAACAGAAGTATTTCTCGCCAATCTATTCAGGTATCGATTCCATGACCTTTTCTAACCCGACCTTTGGTTTGTATTAATTGAGAAACGATTGGTATGCTGCCTTATGAGGCAACGCATAGTCTGCGAGATGCGAAACTATAGTCAACAAGCGCTTAGTCGCGTTCATACAAAGAAATTAAACTATTTTATCGACTGCGTTATTCTTCTGGATTGAAGAAATCAAACATTTTCCTAACTAGCAACTCGTATCGAACATGGGTCCAATCCAGAGATTTCCTTCCGATGCTGCTCTTTGAAGTGGTTTTGATATTTTCGCCGGCAAATCCTTTCCAATGAGGAGCGCGCGATCTCGTTTATACGTTACGGTAAAAGCGATTTGATTTGCTTGTTTCGCTCTTGGGAATCTTTTCGATTTAGGAAATCTATCGAATTCCGTTCGAGTCCTTTGATCTGCACCAGATGGTTTTATCCTCATGATTTTCTCCCGCCGCAGAACTTATTTAGAGTACCTAAGTTGGCTGGAAGTAGGCCGAAAACATTTCCAAGCAGACTTTCTTTGCTCAAACAGGGGAAACCATTTCTGAACAACAATTATTCAATTCTGACTGCCCCGGAAAATATCGCCTTCATTCCGGCTGAAGCGCACACTTTTCCTTTGTATAATAAATGAAAAACCTTTTTCGGTTAGCCATATTGAGTGGCTGGAAAATTCCCGTGTTTCCAAATATCGTTGTTTTTGGATGAGAAATGTGACTTTTTCCCGACCAAACCCGGTTTGCATGATAATAATGACCGGATTGCAATCATAAACTAGTTAGGCGCAAATTGGTTTTCACTGCGGCTGCTGCATCAGATCGCATATGGACGGGGAATTGGAGCCTGGATAAAGGCGTATCAATCAGCTAAATGCAAATCGGGGCCCTTTTGAGTACACTTCAACTGTGGTATTTAATCTACACGTTTATCTGCCTTTTAGGACGCTTTTCAACAACGTCCGTAACTAATATGAGCACATTCACTGGCAAACAAGGGCGGATCCAGGGAGGATGTGCTGGGGGGGTTTATGTCGACTAACGATAATTTTTCTAATTTTATAGACAACAAAAGGCTGAATTTCTACTACACAACCCCCGCCATCAGACATGTTAATGTGTGTTTGCAGGAGACAAATTTCAGGTTTCAAGACGGCAAAGACCTAAAAGAACGTTAATATTTACCAATCATGAGTTTGTGTAAATTTTAAATCTGATGATGGCGCTGTTGTCTGGCTGAAACGTAATGAAATAAACGATGTTCAAAATTTTTACTTCACACTTTGACTGAGACCCACGAAAGATGAAAAAATCATAACAAGTACATGCAGTAATAAATAAGAATAAATTCTTTGTTTAAGAAATAACGGACAACCACATTAATCAACAAAAAGCGATATTTGAAAACCCAAAAA